CCGGCGGCTCCCCTGGGGACTCCGACCCCGACTCCTCCTCCTGCCAGACCGGAGACGGGCATCGCTTCGCGCCCGTCGGGCAGCCCCTGTGAGCGCCGGGAGCCCGCGGAGCCGCAGCCGGCGGCGAGCGCCAGGGCCGGGCCGGGCCGGCCGCGGGGAGCCCTGTCGGCCGCTGCCTTCGCTCCGGAGGGATCCCCAGTCCCGCAGTCAGGGCTGGCTCCAGGACCTTTTCCTTGTGAGGAAGGGGGTGGAGGTAGGGGTGGGGGAAATGAGAGTCGGTGGGTGGGACTGCGAGGAATTTCGGTCTCTTTTTTTAATATCTATATCTGTGTGTAACGTTGCGGTGGATAAGGAGCGGCCGGGCCGGGCCGTGCGGGCTGCGGACAGACCATCGCCGTGGTGCTGCGGCGGGTCCCGGCAGGTCCCTGTGCCCGCGCTGGGCGGGGGCGCGGGTCCCCCCCGGCCCCAGAGGAGCCGGGCCCGTCCGGGGCTGCAGCCGGAGCCCGAGGGGCTGCGGGGACCTGCCCCGGGCTCTGCTCCCCCGCACTCCGGTCGGGGCAGCCGTGGGGAGACGAGGGCGCTGGGGGCGGCAGGTACCCGGCTGCTGGAGCCGGTTTAAGGCCGGGGAGCCTTTTCCCTCCCTTGAGCATCCCCCCAGCGCCGGGGCACGGCAAGACCCTCCGTGCCGGGACGCGGGTCCCGGGCCCGGGGCAGCTCCGGGAAGCGCAGCGGGCGGTTCGGGGCCGGGCCGGGCTGCCGGGGCCGCGGCGAGGGGCTCCCCTCGGGCGGGGATGGGGAACCCGCCTCGGCACCCCCGGGCCCGCATCCACCTCGGCTGCCGGGGCCGGGCGGGTTTCCCTGCTCTCCCACCCCCGCGCGACCTCAGATTCTTTCGTATCCCGACGGGTGCAAATTTGAGCTCTTATACCTGAACTGCACGTGGATTTTTTTAATATATATATATAAATATTTTTTCCTCTGTATGCATGCATGGGAGAACATGCATTTAAGCAAGCACGTGTGCGTGTGTTCCTCTGTGTGTGTGTGTGTGTATTTTCTGTGGGCTGTGGAAAAAACACAACACACCGCTACAGGAGAAAAATAGGAATAAACACACGCATAAAAAGAAACTAAAAGCCTATTTCTGCATTCTTAATTCTTAATGAAATGCACATGTCTTGGCTACCGATTTTTTAAAGGCGCGTAGATTTATGGAAGCACGCTAGGTTTAATTCAGCCAGAGGCTGTTTCTGTTCTCGGGAGGGATATATCTACTGGGTAGGTGACCGATAGCTTGTAAAAACCTTGCCATGCTATCTTTGGTTCTGCTTTTTTTTTTTTTTTTTTTAGACAGAAGGAAGAAGTCATAATAAATAAATAAATACACCCTTTTAATATAAGCGTAGCCATATTTTTCTCAAACCCGTAGGAAATTACTATCCTACAAAGTTTTCCTTCTATAAATAGTTCGAATCTTAAAACAAAAGTTTTCAACCGCACGCCAGATGCTGGGATGCTAGCGGTTTCCCTTGCTGTGTGACATAATTACAAGGTCCGATAGCAAAAGCTATAGAAGTATAATAATAATACTAAGGCGACTGTTGAGGGGAAATACAAGGGAAGCAATGCCTACTTTATTTTGAGCCAACTGCCTGGGGATCTTTTGAGCGCTGCCCCGCGACAATGAGAAGTTGTGGCGGATAAATAATGCTCTCTCGCCTTCCCCTGGGCCGTCCCCAGTTCATCCCCTCCGCGGCGGGTCACTCGGAGCTGGACCCGCGGAGCCGGAGCCGAGGTGGCTATTGCAGCCCAGCAGAGCAGAAGGGAAAGGGATCAGGAGGTGAAACCCAACAAAGCAGAGCCCCAGGGCGACGCGCACCTCCCTCCATCCATCACTCCGGAGGGACGGAGCCGGTGCCTCTCCGGGGAGAAAGCAGCGCTGCCGGGGGCGCCGGGGCCGGGCTGCCCGGGCCCCCCAGCCCCGCTCCCCCGCCGTGTCATCCCCGGCCCCGCTCCCCCGCCGTG